GCCCAGCTTTAGGAGAGAATGATCTGACCATGACAAGGGCTCAACCACTATCTCCCCTATTGTCAGATCACTCTGCCACTGGCCAGAGACAAAAACCAGATCTAGTGTGTGTCCACCCGTGTGGGTGGGGGTCTGAATTAACTGGGTCAAGTCCAAGGCCGTCATGGAAGCCAAGAACTCCTGAGCTACCGCCGACGTCATAGAATCATAGGGCTGCAAGGGATCTTGGAGGTCTTCTAGTCCAACCCCTCTGCCCAAGGCAGGGGACTTGTTGCATCCTGGACAAATGGCTGTCTGATTTTTTCATGAAGACCTCCAACAATGGAACATCCACAACTCCAAGAGGCAACCTATTCCATTGATTAATTCTTATTATTGTCAGGAAATTTCTCCTTCATTCCAGATTGGATCTTTTTTTAAAAGCTTCCACTAATTGCTTCTTGTCCTGTCCTCAGGTGCTTTGGAGAATAAGTGGACCCTCTCCTTCCTATGGCAGCCCCTCAAATACCTGAAGACAGCTATCATGTCACCTCTAATCCTTCTCTTTGTTAGGCTAGACATACCTAATTCCTAAACTGTTCTCTAAACAGTTAAGGCCCCTTATCATGTTTGTATCTGTTTTCTGCACTTGTTGTAGAGTTTCAGTGTATTTTTAATATTGTGGCGCCCAGAATTGGTTGTAAGTAGGGGCCTTACTTAGTGCAGTATTGAATGATGCTATCACTTCTTGTGATCTTGATGCTATCCCTCTGTTGATGCAGCCTAGGACTGCATTGGCTTTTTTGGCAGCTGCAGCACACTGCTGGCTCATATTTAAGAAATGGTCCACCAAGATCCTCTTACCCTTATCACTGTTAAGCCAGGGCTGCCTATTCTATTCCTATATTTTTTGTTTTTCCTGCCTAACTATAGGATCTTGCTTTTCTCATCACTGAATTGCATCTTGTTAGTTAGGGCCCAATGTCCAGGTCTGCCAAGATCCTTCTGAATCTTGAGTCTGTCTTCCAAAATGTTGGCAATTGCCCCCAGTTTGGAGTTGTCTGCAAATTTGATGAATTACATTTTTATCCCCTCATCTAGATAATTTATGAAGATATTGAAGAGCACTGGGCCCAAAACAAATTTTGAGGTACCCCATTGTTAGTTAGTAATGGCACTTCCATAATGGCAGAATACCAGGTGCTCTGATAAACAATGGAGCAAAAGTGGTTTCTTCTTTGCTTCCTTTGCTTCCATGAAATATCTATCAAATCACTGTTGGGAATAAGGTTAGGAGGATGATCCTTTGATTTAATTCAGGAGCTTTTTGATAGGAATATTTGGAAACATATAAACTGGCAGAATGTGGTTTTGTGGTCAAGATTTTTGACAGATGTTTCTGGATCAAGAAAACTAAATTTTGGCCTCTAGTTTTAAAGCCAGATTTAAAACTTCAAATCTTTTAAAACTTTAGTGGTTGGAGTCATCTATTAGGTGATTTAATTGCCTTTAAGTTAGTGTGATGTGGGAAAACAACCATTAGGTTAATAAAAGAAGTTTATGCTTTATGATTATATGATGATCAAGTTGTTATGATTGTATTAAGAATATGTAGTATGGAATATATAAGATGGAATTTGGGGAACGTGCCTATTTACCAAGGTAGGTAAACCAACTGAAAAAAATGTTTGTCATGGTGGTCATGTCAGATTTGAAATATCCATTTACCAGAAAGTGAATGGAGGATGCCCTAGGATGCTCACTACCATACCAGAATAATCTTTTTGGGATCAACAAGCCTTGCTATAAATACATGTTTCTCAAAACTTATGCTTTGCTTGCAAAATGAATATTACTTATTTCTTTTATTATTTATTTCTTTAGACACAATTGATAGCCAATCTCAATCCTAACAATACAACAATCCCTCTCTCTTTAAAAAAAACTATGTAATAAAAATCAAAGTTAAAGGAAAACTAATTATCAGAGATGCCATTCACATGATCAAAAGGCTCACTGGAATACTTGTAAAGTTGAGGCATTTTGTACCACCACAGGATACTGGAGTCTAGTACTGAATATGCGTTTATTATTGGTTGGTTTTTTTTAATTTAAAGAAACGTTTTCTTTAAATCAGGTAGGCTATGGCACCTTAAGGGTACCCAAGGTGATATCCAGGGACCCCAGCATATCATTGATTGTTTTCTACCCTCCACTAGGCTCAGGCCCTATGCAATGTATTGGGAACTCTTCCGAGATGAGCTTAGGTATGCCAGTGCCTCTTCCTCTTTATCTTCCTGGGCCGGGACCTGGGATAACCCGGAGGAACTGCCTGCCAGCTTCCCACAACCATGCCAATGACATCAGCCTCTGGAACATTCTTCGTAACAACATTGGCAAAGATCTCTCCAAGGTCTCCATGCCGGTGCAGTTGAATGAGCCACTCAACATGCTGCAACGCCTTTGTGAAGAATTGGAGTACAGTGCCCTGCTGGATGCAGCCAGCTGCAGTTTGGACCCCTGTGAAAGATTGGTAATATGCCTCTCCATATGTCAGAGATGGACCATCTATGGGTGGCCAAGGGCTGCATCTAAGTTTGTCACATAGGGGGGCAGGTCTTGGCTTTGGAAGAACAATTTTAAATATATATTTATCTATACATGGACATACCTTATAAGAAATATATATATTTCTTATTTCAGCAGTTGTTAGAAGAATGTGTCTTGAGAATGTTCTGTCTCTTTGGGAATTCAACCTCTGTGATGTAGCTTGCAGAAAATAAACTTTCTAGGGCCCTCCCCTTGCCTCCAAGTACATTCATAGTTGATTATTGACTATTGCAACGCTCTCTACATGGGGCTCCCCTTGAGGTGCACCCGGAGGCTCCAGCTAGTTCAGAATGCGGCCGCGCGGGGGATCCTGGGGGCCTCTAAATGCTCCCATGTAACACCTCTCCTGCGCGAGCTGCACTGGCTGCCTGTGGCCTTCCGGGTGCGCTTCAAGGTGTTAGTAACAACCTTTAAAGCGCTCCGTGGCAATGGACCTAGGTATTTGCAAGACCGCCTCCTACCAAACACCTCCCTTCGACCTGTCCGCTCCCACAGAGAGGGCCTCCTTAGGGTGCCGTCGGCCAGACAATGCCGGCTGGCGACCCCCAGGGGGAGAGCCTTCTCTGTGGCAGCTCCTGCCCTCTGGAATGACCTACCCCCCGACCTACGTACAGTTGCGGACCTGCGCCTTTTTCGCCGAGCCCTGAAGGCTCATCTATTCCGTGCGGCCGGCCTGGCATAGTTTGATTATGTTTTAGTGGGGGTTTTGTATGGGGTATTTTTAGAGCAGGCCTGTTATTTAATTTGATTTTAGACAGAAATTTGTGTATATTTATTGTGGTTTTTATTATCGCCTGTTCACCGCCCTGAGTCCCGTAAGGGAGATAGGGCGGTATATAAATTCAATAAATAATAAATAATAATTCTGGGTTCCCCCCCCTTCTTGCGGGCATCCCTAATGTTTTCTGCTTCCTTCTAACAGCTCTGCATAGCTGCCTTTGCTGTATCTGCCTATGCCTCTACCTACTACCGTGCTGGCAGCAAGCCATTCAACCCTGTATTGGGAGAAACATATGAGTGTGTCCGTCCTGACAAGGGGTTTCGTTTCCTAAGTGAACAGGTAATTGGCCATAAGCAGCTGTTACAGGCAGGATCTCAAGTTTTCCAGTGATTTTTTAGGCTGCCTGTGGAAGATGGATCAGGGTTTTCCTTCGATGATCTGTGGAAAAGGATTAGAGCCAACAGATAGAAATTTCAGGAAAGCAGATTTGGCTAAACATTACAAAAAGACTGGCAATATGGTCTTGTGACTCCCTTTATGAGTGTAAAATAATTTGTTGAAATTAAAGATGGTTGAAATCTCATGCATGATTATCTGATAATTTAGCATTTTTCTTTGTGCTGAATTCTCAGGATGAGATTTTGGCAGTCATGGATAATTTTGTGGTGGGAGAGGGGAAATAGTACTTTTGGCATCCAGACTTGGAAATTTCTAAGTGCATGAGAAGAAACTTCCTAATCTGATGAATTGGAAGATCTGCTATTTTATGCCATCTTTCAGCATTGGTCAGAGACATTACCTTTATGGCCCCATTTTAGATATTAGACATATCAGCACAAGCATATGGAAGATGCAGTATTGTATAAAATGGACACAGAGATTTTTTTTTCTCATCCATCCCAGCTAATAAGATAATTGTTTTCCTCTCTAGAGTGAAGTAGGATGAGAAATAGAATGACAGTGGAGGAGGGGAAATTACAGCTTTTAAAATCAAGACTAATAGGGAGAGAAATATGCTTGAGTGTGGGTGAACCTGAAGGACATTTTATTTCCAGTCTCTGAGTCAGTATAGCAGGGAACGTGGCATTATCTGGAGGAATGGCTCGACAACTGATTCATGGAAGAAAGCAAGGTCCCTTTTCCAAAGAGAAACATTTGCCTAAGAGTCACCAATTTGCAAGTTCTGGTATCTTTCTGGGGGCAAAGTGACTGTGGAGAACATTGTGCACCTGTTGAGTTCTTCTCCAACAAAGTCTTTGAGAGTCTGAACTGAGCCAGAACAAAAATTAACAAGCCATTAATCATTTCTATCTTGTGTGCTGCCTCAGATAACAGATGCCATTAAATTGAAAATGACCCAAAATGAATCAGGTTCTGAATCCCCAGAATGGTTCCAGTGTATCCACAGCTTCATCTTCAATCTCTTGGATATCTGCCGTTTTCCAAATTCACATCTCCTTCTTATAGCTTGTTCATTATGAGGAATCCTTAGATGAGAGATAATAATTTGGATCATGCCATCTTTCCTAACAGTGATCCTGAAAAGTTCATCTCAGTGGTAATAAACTGCTGCCTTTCTCTGATCATCTTTTTTAAAATTTCTAACTATGTAGAAGGTATTTAACATACCATGCTTAATATTTCATCTTTGGTGATGTAGTTTTCAAATGGATTGATATTTTTGGAATATTTCAAAGTCTCACCTTTATGGCCCTTTGTTCCAGATTGCATTTGCGGTGGTATTTTTGAAATCTTATTTACTATCTTTGAAAGAGCATTAACATTGTCAGATCTGTTATTTTACTTCTAAAGAGCTACTTTGTTTTAGTTCTTTTCCTCCCTTTAACCTTTGTAGAGGGAGGTTAATTCTGAATATAGAATAAAATGTTAGATATTTTTTTTCTAGGCAGTTTTCCAAAGCATTGGTGCAGCCTTCACCTAAGTTTAACTGATCTTTAAATAGATCCATACACATAGATGTGGAGCTCTGCATTTTCTAGTTATCTTTGATGAAGATATTATAGAATGAATTGAATGAATGAAGGGAGGGAGGGAGGGATATGTATGCTATCTTGACTCGCCAAGTAAAAATGGGGAACAAATGCAATAAAAGAAAACATTTGTAACAAATGTAACATCGGCAAAACATTTGTAACATCGGCAAATCCTCATGTTGTCTGGGAATGATGGCAGTTATATTCCATTACTTCTGAAGGCTTCTGCAGTGGAAAAAATTTCATGAAATCTACTTGCCATTTTTTTTGCCAACTTGGAATGTAGGTTAGAATCAGTATAAGCATGTATGCCAGTATGCCAACAGACTCAACGCCTCTTTCCCACGAGACTTTTGTTCCTATTTTTAGAATCTTTGAAAGAAAAAAAATATTAATTAGGAAGTAGGAAACAATTTGCTTTCTAACAAATTAGTCTTTCGTGCCTATCCATGGGCAACATGGAAATGCTTTTGAGAATAAGCAAGAGTTTTCCTTCCACGCAACCTATTTTATGAGAGTGTTTATGATACTGTGTGAATTTCAATATTTTAGAATTATAAATAAAAGCCATAATTTTGAAGCATCTTTACGAACAGTCAAGATGATACAGAGGGCTGCAGTGATTTAGATTTTTTTGTGTGTGTGCTCTTTTGTCTATCCCACCCCAACTGCAGGTGAGCCATCATCCTCCTATCTCTGCCTGCCATGCAGAGTCTGAAAATTTCATTTTCTGGCAAGGTGAGGCAAAAAGCTATTCTTGTTGGAAAATGGGGAAAACAGATGGAATTTATTTTATTGAAAACAGTATTGACTGCTCTTTTAATCAAAAAAACCAATGTTACTTGTCAGGTTCTTTCCTAGAACTGGATCTGTACAAAAATTTACTACAGGTAATTCCCGAGTTATGAGTGTTCATTTAACGCTCATTCAGATTAACACAACAAGTGGCCCCTAGTGTTTACAAGCAAGTCCCAAAATCACAAATATTGTAGCACCACGGCACTTGTTCGCCCTTACGAACGACTGCAGAGGCTCTGCAACATCCACCTCCTCCCCTCCCCACAACTGCTTCCCCCTCACTTCCTGCCACGCCGGATACACTTACCTTGCAAAGATCTGTCTCCTCTCTGCCATGGTTTCTTTCCCTTTGAGGGAGAGGAGTGTCGGCTTGGAAATGCTTTTTGCACCGACAATGGAAGCTCCTGGGTGCAATAATATTCCATGAGTTCAAACACAAATTCTCTGCAAAACGGAGCGGTCAGGATTTGTGCCGGCCAGCCGGTCAGGCAAGGAGTAGGTCAGGCGGGGTGGCTGGCTGGCTGGGGATGGGGGATCATGACTGCTCAGGTGGCTGCCACTGCCAGTGGCTTGGGTTTTGAAGTTCCCCATAGGTGCTGAAACACTTTTTATCCAAACGGAGACCTGATAGAGACTGGAAGCTCCGTATGCCTGGAATGGGGCGCTTGATAAAAGGAGGCTTCTGCTTCGTTTCTAAGCGCACATTGGCAGCCATGTGGAGCTTGCAGTCGTCTGTCAGGTCTCCATCCGGATAAACAGTATTTCAGCGCCTATGGGCCGTTTGAAAACGAAGTGAATGCTTCATTTCCAAACGCCTTATAGGCACTCAAACTCTTTTTACCTGGATGGAGACCTGACAGAGACTGGAAGCTCTGCATGGCTGCCAGTGACGCTTGAGAAACGGAGCGTTTCACTCCATTTCTAAGAGCACATTTTCATGCGGACAGAGCTTCCAGTCTCCCTAGGTCTCCATCCTAGTGAAAATTGTTCCAGCAGTGGTGGAAAGGAGTTGGGGGAAGAAGCAGGAGATAGGCACCACAAACACCGCGAGACTGCAGGCTCCCATTCTGTGCAAAAGAGGATGGGTGCCTGAACTCACGTGATATTACGGGCACCCAGGAGCTTCCGTTAAATCTCCTTTCCTTCAAAGGCAGAAACCACGGCAGAGAGGAGATGGGTGTTTTTGAGGTAAGTCAGTCCTACGCAGCAGGAAGGGAGGGGGAAGCATGCAGTATCTTAGTGGGTTGGGGAGGCCTTAGGGGCCTGTTCCATCACTAGGCCCCCCCATGGCCTTCCCTACCCTGAGATACCTCATGTTCACTTAATGAGCAGCACATGTGTTAACGAGCAGAGAGTGATCTTGTTCAAGGTACGAGATTCACTCCCACAAATTCTCGAGTTATGAATGGAATGGACAGGCAAGTGTTTTCTGCTTCATGCAAAGTGCATTGTTTTACTCAGTAATTGTCCAAAAAAAACCCCTCTGGCCTCAGGACGTAACAGATTTTGGATTAGAATGGGCCACCTTCTGGTGGCCTGGAAGTCCAGGAGATTAATTTTACGTTTTTAAAGAAATAACATCCACCTAGAATAACCCAAGCAGGCATCTCCATAATTAATTAGATATGAGGGGATTTATAGCCTAAAAATCCGAATAGTGTCACATTAGTCACACTGCAGTATAGAACTGATTTGTTGGAACCACAATTGATTGGGAATTTTTATTAGTCCCAACGAATTTAATGAACCTCAGTTGTAGGCCCAATTGCAATAATCTACATACCCCAATTTAACTTGATTCAAATCCTAAAGTAATAGTTTTTGTGACTTCACACTTCATTTCTTTTTCCTTGAATTTTGTTTTGTTTAGACATGAAGTGGAAAAATAAGTTCTGGGGCAAATCCCTGGAGATAATTCCAGTTGGTACAGTGAATGTCCAGCTTCCCAGGTGAGTCACAAAGCCTGTTTGTTCCATCCTTCTTGATGATCGTTCTCTCATCGATTCCCCCCCTCCCATCTCCTCACTTCTGGCACTCTTTTATCCTTTTTATTCTCCCTTCAAAAGGTTTGGGGATCACTATGAATGGAACAAGGTGACTTCTTGCATTCACAATATCCTGAGTGGCCAGCGTTGGATTGAGCATTATGGTGAGGTGTTGATTCGAAACACGAGAGACAGCAGATACCACTGCAAGCTTGCTTTCTGCAAAGTGAGTTCTAATATGGATCTGATCTTCCTGACTCCTGCCTTGTCCTGTTTTTTTTTTTTTTATCTCTGCTTAACTCCTCTTTCCGGTACTTCATCCTGTTTTTAAATTCAGGAATGTCAACTCTGAGGCTACTGAATATCAAGCTATAGTAGATTGTTGTTCCATCTGGCTGAGTATTGTTTTCAGCCTTACTAGAAGTAGTTCCCTGGAACCTCAGATTGATCTGAGAAAGGATTTCCATCTGGAAATGCTGTGAATTAAACGTGGACCCCTCTTAGATACAAAGCAGTTGCACTGCCACTGAGCTTTGGTCCGTTCTCTCTGATGTAAAATTTTAAATACCACTTCTGCCTTGATACATCTTCCTGTGCTTTGTTGTCCTGGTTTGTGGTACTTGCTTCCTTCTCCTTTAATTTCTTGACTGATGTTCCTAATCAATACGGTAACTCTTTCATTCCATACTCATCTCCCATTTCTTTTTTTGGGAATCATCAGGCTTCATCCTTTTCCTTTTTGTATTTGATTTCTCTCCTTTTGAGCCTCAGGTTTGTCCCTTTCCTTTCATCTTCATTATCTCTTCTCAGACATCTCCTTGGCTTCCTACCAGGTGAACAGAAAACTGAATAGGAAGCCTGCCTACCTTAACCTCTTCTCTTTTTGGCAGGCACGCTACTGGGGCTCCGGGGTCAATGAGGTGCAGGGTGCCATTCACAGCCATAATGGCAAGGTTATCCATCGACTTTTCGGGAAGTGGCACGAAGGGTTGTATCGTGGTGTGCCTTCTATTGGAAAGTGCCTCTGGAAGTCCAGTAAGAAATCAATTTTAAGGATTGCTGAGCAGTGGGGAAGTATCAGCTGCTTATATGGGACTGATTGTTTATTTATAGACCAGTTTTCACCCAACTTAGCAAGTTCCAGATCGGTTTCATCAACAGTTCCCAGAATCCCCGTAGGTGACAATTTGTGAGATATGTGCAATTTCAGCTCATCTGTACAATATAAGATCCAGGAAGCTGATCTTTAATGTGTTAGTGGTCTTGTAAACCAAATTAACAAAATGACAAAATTAAATATGAATTAAATCTAATACAATCAGATGTATAATATATGTCTTTTAAGTAACCTCAAAACCTAGTATACGCATTTGTGCATTTGTATGTGCTTATCTTTGCAATTGTTTGGAAGTGTGTGGAATTCCTTTGTGGGGAGATAATAATAATAATAATAATAATAATAATAATAATAATAATAATAATAATAAAAAGTTGGAAAAGATCTTGGAGGTCATCTAGTCCAACCCCCTGCTCAGGCAGGAAACCCTATACCATTTCGGACCAATGGCTGTCCAGTCTCTTCTTAAAAACTTCCAGTGTTGGAGCATTCACCGCTTCTGGAGGCAGGTTGTTCCACTGGTTAATTGTTCTCATTGTCAGGAAGTTTCTCCTTAGTTCTAAAGGGGGATGGGCATCTATCAGAGCTGTTGTGATTTTCTTTTCCCTAATGTACTGCTTAGCATATTCTTAGGGTGAGAACCCCCACCCCCTTCTTTCTAGTTCATATTCTGTGCACTAGATTGAGGGAGCCTGTTTTAAAAATATCAGTTAGAGAAATAAAGGCAATTTTAAAATGTTATTTACTGTCCACCTTTCTACATAACTTCTTAGATAAATACAGATGTTGTGTCATTTGATGTTCTCATGTTATGAGTTTTTGATCCTTTCCCCCTTTTGTACAGCATACAATATATCCTGTGTGTAGGTTTTATTGCATCCCTCAGTGTAATAAAAAAAGGTGGCATCAGCTACATACAGTATAGCTGTCATTGAGATGTCAATGTCAACAGTTTGGGATAATTGAAAATTGGAGGAAAAAATATCCAGCAAATCATTTAAATACGAATTAAACAGATTTGGAGCAAGACCCTTCTATGACAAACATGAGATTAGTCAAATTATATTCTTTTTGACATCACATTCTAAAGTAGACTCTAGATGAAGAGAGATTAAATCTCTCTTAATCTCTGTATCACTGGAAACAATACTAAATTTAGGCCATGAAATTCCCTTTGGGAAGTTATTAAAGCAGTCTTTAAATCCATAAGGACTGATACAAACCTTTGCCAGGAGATATTAATGTTTTAAATTACTTGGTAGTTTGAGACCAAAAAATAGTCAAGTGTGGATGCACCCTACTAAACTCGTTTGTTCTGGGCACAGCATATCTTCAACTTCGAGTTTTTCCAGGAAACTGGTTTTCCATTAAGATAATTAGTATATCGTGTGCCAGCAAATGAGAATAGATTTCACGGATAGGTAATTGGAAGTAATTAATTAAAATAATTGAAATTACTTTTTAGAAGTTGGTATGATAGTTGCTAGGGACCAATATGTTAGCATGTCTGATTATTAATTTGACAGAATAAAATAGTTAAGGTGGGCAATCAAGTGCTATAAGGTTTCAGAAGTTTTGCCATTACAGAATTAGAACCTGAGGCCTTCCCAGACTGCAGCTTTCAGATCATTGCTTTTGAACAGTGCAGTGGGAAAGCACAGAAAAGATATGTAGTTGTTTTTTCACTGCTTTTATTCTATTTTAATTGTGCTGCCCAGAGACATATATATAAAGCGGGCAGCCTACGCATTTATTAAATAAATAAGGCTAAGTTAATACACTGTATGTACACAAACACTGCAGAGTGATCTTCACATTTAGTACTGTCATCAAAATAACAAAAGCATATTATGAAGCAAGTGCTGCCTCCTCTGTACATTTGTGCAACATCACAATGCACGAAAAAAAAGAGGTGAAGCTTGTGATGCAACACTGTCATTTCTTTCTTCCCTCCCCGTGGATAGCTTAGTATTTTCCAAACTTTTCAAAATGTGGAGCCCCAGTTAGCCATGATTGAGATAAAATGACGCAATAGAGAGTATAAATAAAACAACATTTAGTTTAGGATCTTCTGAGTTTCTAGGGTATTGGAGAAAGTAAACCTTTGGTTTCTTTAATTGCCATAAATGGGGAGAAAAAAGAGACACTATTGTGACAACCAACTCCTGCATTGAAATCTCTCATAAACAGACAGGAGCAAAGAGCCTGGCACTCTAAATCTGTTGGAGAATACATGGGAATTTTCCATTCTCTAGTTAACTGGTCTCTAGTTGCTTCAAGAGAGGAGAAATATATACATTAATTAAGAAATGAAATAAACCAAATTTAAGTGGGTATCTTAGCCTTTTTCATAATTGTTGGTATTTGAACTACTAAAAATTTATTAAAAATCAGCAACAAATCCTTTTTATCCCTGTTGAATTCACAGAGTATCAAAAACATTATCCAAATAAATACATTATGGTCATTAAAAAAAAATTCATATTTCTCCAGCTTCCTAGGTGATATAATCATTCTGAAATGAGTATGTTCGGTTTGAAGGGGTCGGGCATAGCCACCAAACATTTTTCAGGAAGCAAAACACTTGGGGGGAAAAAAGCTGTCCAATGTTATATCAGCACTTTTTTATGACTGGTACTTCAATCACTTTGTACGAGACAATTTCCAATTCAAGGAGTAGAAATATTACCTGAAAACAAAATAGCAGTGTGAGGGCTAGAGGTAGCAAGAAGAGGAAGAAAGTGCCTGGAATGAGACAAGACTGATTTGTAAATAACAAACCCAGTGCAATTATCAAGCATACATAAAAATGGCCTACAGTATAAGCAACCAATGAATGGGAGAAAAAGCTCCAGGATTTTAAACTTTGGAGCATATCTATGTAGAGAATTAGATTTTTAGCCTTTGTAGAAATTTTTATTGTAATTAAAGTTTGCTTATAGCAGTAGAATACCTTATTTCTTCAGATCAAGTTCTTGGTTTCCTATAAAAATGGTGTAATCCTTCAGAAAGGATTATTGGTGGGCCTTGGCAGGGCAACCATCAATAGGTTCTCCTTATTCTAGACCATGTTCCCACTCATCCATCCTTAGAGGATTTATGCACAAAATATTGGAAACAACTTGACATCCAATTCAGAGAAAGGGGATCATTCTGGCAAATAAGACTTCATAGGAAATTTTTTGGGATAAAGTGATATTTGTATGGGAGGAGACATTTGATAAAGAAGTAGATGCAAAGGGTTTATACTTATAATGAAACACTTTGCTGCGGCTTGGAAATCAGTGAAAAATCAAGCATTAGCAAATAGCTGGAAGAAATTGCTTTACAACATGGATGCAGAGTTATAATTTGAAGAAAGCTGGTGAAAATGAAGCATAACTGTATCTTGAGTTTAGAGGAAGATGAAAGAGATACTACAAACCAAATAATGACAAAGCATGAGATTTTGAACATCCTAGGGTTGGCAAGAAGCAAGACAGTGAAATTAGTAAGAGAAGGAACAGCCAAATTAAGTTTTGGTATTCAGATCATGTCTTGATTATAAGACAACTTTTATTGACTCATCATCTCATCCCGAAGTCCAGCCTTACCACTCCCACACATACTTTTAAGTATGTAACCCAGCGCCCTTTTAATTATGAGTGCAGAGGTTCAAAAACAATCTTTTACCTCCAGCTTAGAATGTTGAATAATACAATGAGGGTCATCACTATCAATTATGGCCATTTACAGATTCTTCTGGTTTCCCTATTATTACCTATATAGGATTAGGTGCTACATTGCTAAGTCAAGAAAATATTATTTTATACAGTAATCTCATGTGTGAGTATGAAATATCTCATTTAGATTTATTGGATGTTCAGCTTTATGAGATACAATTTTTGTTATTCTTTTAAATCCAGAAGTTATATCTTATTGATCTTCTACACTGTTTGTGCCTGATTGTATTATTTGGCTTTTCAATAATTTCCATTTTTTCTTCTCCGCCTTTTGTGGTTATTGTATACCATTCTCCTTTTCTTATAATTTCAGGAAGCCCTTACCCTAATTTTGGAGAAAAGCCTGAAATGAATATTTTAATTTATCAATTGTATTATATAATCAATAGCTGTTCAAATATTTATTCCTCTTTGAGGGAGATGGGAAGTTTAGAAACGTGAAATATAAATAAATAAAATATTGAAATAAATATAAGTGTGATAATGGACTATATAGACTTTAGAAATCTCTCTCTCTCTCTCTCTCTCTCTCTCTCTCTCTCTCTCTCTCTCTCTCTCTCTCTCCCTTTCCCTCCCTCCCTCCCTCCCGTCTAGATCTCATGCCTCGAGACCAAGAGAAGAACTATGGTTTCACTCAGTTTGCGCTGGAGCTGAATGAACTTACTCCAGAGCTGAAGCGCCTGCTTCCATCTACGGACACAAGATTGAGGCCTGACCAACGGTAAGGGCCAGGAAGAGATTGATACAAATTTTCCTTTATTTTTTCAATTCTTTTGCAAAAGATGCATTAATATTATCCTACCTTTCCACTAATAAGGTATTCAAGATAATTTACTTTCTGGCAGTTACAGAATTGCCAGTATCAGTTATAAAATGGATACAGCAACAAAGTAAGAATGAGCATTAAAACTGCACTTGAGTGACTGTAAACGTGTGTTATAATCCCGACCTGCATATTGTGTGAATTAAAAGCAACATCTCTGAATTTGGTGGCTTCCTCCAGGTATCTGGAAGAGGGAAATGTGCAGGCTGCAGACTCTCAAAAACGACGGATTGAACAGTTGCAGCGAGATCGGCGTCGTGTGATGGAGGATAACAACATTTTCCACCAAGCACGCTTTTTCAGGTGCTTTTCCTTCTTTGCTTTATTTTGGGTTTCTTGGCCACAAGTGTAGCACCTACTTTTTGTTATTCTTCTTCCAAGAACCAAAGATGAAGAGAACCAGTCTTAAAGTTCAGCCATAAGGAAGCCTGTCTATCAAGCCATAATAAAGCCTGTCTAACTAGTGATGGTTATAAAGTGGGCTAGGCAACCACTTTTATTGCAGTGGTTGTTCAGCGAATCATGGTCATTAAGCAAATACACTGCCATTAAGCAAACTAGTGGTTTGCTATGAGCTCAACTTTGCTGAAAGTAAATGTCGTTCTTTTGGCAAAACTCAGAAAATGCAGTCATAGGATAATGGGATGTTGCAAATGGCCATAAACGCAGCCCAGTTGCCAAGTGCCCAAAGTGCAGTTATGTGAGAGTGGGAGGGGGGAGAGGGGAAACTGTTGGAAATTTGAATCTGGATCACAAGTAACCCACAGGTAGATCCATCAGAACTTCAAATGGCCATTAACTGTCCAGTTGTAAGTTGAGGACTACGTGTAGTAGTTTTAGTGCTGGAATAAGTTCAGTTCCTTATTGCATCAGCTCAAGGGCTGATGTGTTCACATCATGTTCACATCAAAAGTTGCACTCCAGAGAGAATTTGGCCAGACTGATTTTCTGAAGAAATTTGAAATGGGGTGAACGGGGAGATAGACTGTCTATCTAGATGGGTATTTTTTAAGACATATGTTTTAACCACCTAAACTTCTCCCCCCTCCAAAAAGGTGGGGGGGAGTCACATATTTTTTATCCCTGAAAGGGTTTTTCTGACATAATGCTTTAAAAAGTTTTGTCTGCAAACATAAGGAGTATGTGATGCCTAAAAAACTAATACATTTACAATTTCATGAAAACATGGACATGTAGATCACTTCATCAGATGCATGCAAAAAACAGTATTATATTTGTAGGGGAGAGAAGTGTGGCTGGAATTATTGTCTAGAAATAAAGGCAACAAACACAACTGTTTGCATTACAGATCGAATCAAATTCTTACCTAAACAAAGCAAAGACAGCCTTAAATCAAGGTTGGTATGAAATCAAACCTTGGTATGATTTGAAGCCGAAAAAACCCAAATATTAAATATGTATAGCAAACCTGAGCTACCTCTATTCTAAAAAATCCACAAGTCTTCTGCATACTCACTATGTATTGCACAGTCTAATACTGGAGAAAGTTCAGTATTCAGAAAACTGTAATTTTCATTGTGAAAAAGCAGCAAATAAACCTATCCTTAAAACTGCAAAGATTGATTTTAAAACATGTGATCAGTACTTAAAAAACATAAGTTGTGGTTAAGCAGAATTTCCTGTTGTAATCTTGTTCTGATTTTTTTTCTTTTTGCACCAGCTACATATACGGTGGGTTAAAGTTTGTTAACATTCTAGTTCTCTAATTCTGAGAGGATATAAAAAGTTTAAAAATAGGAACGAAGAACATGTCGCCATTAAAAGTGGCTGGGTTTGTAATTCACAGCATTCCTCACTCTGGACCTGTTGGCTCGAGATGACCAAGTTATGTTTCTGCAACAGATGTGGTGTTATAAAATTTCCCATCCCTGCTTTAAAGAGTCTCCTTTTGCCAAGTCTAATTGCTGATGGGTTTCCTTCCTTTTTTTCTGACAGGAGGCAAGTGGATGCCAATGGCAAGGAATCTTGGGTAAGCAACAATACCTACTGGAAGCTGAGGACAGAGCCAGGCTTCAGCAATATGGACAGTGCAGTCTTATGGTAGCTGCTAGCATTTGCAAGAGCAGTGGTGCCTTCCTACCATCTCCCAAAGTGGGGGAGTAGACAGCAAGGATCTCTTGCTGGATAAGCACAAAGTGATCAAGGCATGTAATCCTGGAATACCAGCAGCTTATGAAGGAAGGGGACATTGTCTCTTAGGTGTTGTGCTATTTACTTCCAAAGCAGCACTCTTAAGAAAGACTATCCACGTCCATCTGCCATGCTTGCACTTCTGCCTGCTGGTTAGGCAGACATTGGTTGATCCTTGCATTGTCACAAATGAAATTGGCAATAGGAAGCACTTTAATTTCACTTGGATCTTGATGAGCAGAGCAGAAGTGATAAGACTAGTCAACCAGATTGCCCCAAAACATGTATAAATAAGAGGTTTTGCTTTCAAAGCTTACCTTTGAAAGATTTGGGTCTTCTGGCTACTAGCAATGATCTCCTGGGGTGACTGTTTTTGCACCTGCTTTTTTAAAAAAAAATGTACACCACATTCCTTTGAAAGGAGTTGGATGCTGCTCAAGCAGTGTAGCTTTGATGAAGTATGGCCCAATTGGGTTAGAAGTTCTGCCTCTGGAAGCAGATTGGATTTGCAACAACCATCTGAAGAGAGCTCTTCTTAAAGCATTGGTGGAAATTTGACATCAGCCAGAGTGATGTTTCCTCAACCATAAAATGCCAGATTTTTGCTATCTATGTGGTACATCTGTTTGGGCAAAACCAGGATCTTTTCAGGCAGAATGTCTTAAGAAAGCACCTGTTGGGTTTTCCCTGAACCCCTTCCTTATCCCACTGTTTTTGTGGTTTATCTTTCTTGCTTCCTCCTTTGCACAAATATGTTTCCCTTCTGCTTTGCTATATTTCCTTAGTGTTTGAAGCAATAATTAAAATAGAGGCCTGTGGAGAAGACATTTTAATAATCTCAAGTGAAGGAGTGTGGATTCCTCTAATAGCTCTTTGTAGCTCAGGGCAGGATCTATCAGAGGTGTGATTGTACTGAGTGAAAAAGGGTGGAAAACCGTGTATGACAGACAGGGCATTATGAAAAGTGAAAGCAAGTATAGGCTGATAGACAGTAGTTAGAGAGGAAACTTGTGTTTTGTGGGAAGCAAAATAAAGCAAACATAGCAAGGGTATAGGATGGTTTCTAATAGGCAGATCAAAGGAGGAAGAAAAAGATCTCTGCCTGCACCCATCTAGTTTTCAAGTCATCATACAATAATAGCCCAGCAGCCATACATATGAGACTGCTGGGTACTTGGCAGTTTTACAGTTCATTGAGCACTGGATGGGCCACTATTGAGATTAGGATTTAACTCAGTTTACTCAGGCTCTCACAACTATTTCTCTAGTTTATGCATTTTTTGTTTTATTCTCCATTCCCTATCCCAGTGATGGCGAACCTTTTAGAGACCGAGTGCCCAAACTGCAACCCAAAACCCACTTACGCATTATCGGGTGCCGGGTGGGTGTGGCCTATTGGGTGGGTGTGGCCCATTGGGTGGGTGTGGCTGCAGTGGTAACAGCAGACTGGGTGGGACTAAAAAGTTCAATCAATCAATTCCAACTTTGCAAGATCTTTTTTTTCCCGCGAGAAGTTGAAATTGACTGAACCTTTTTTTTTTTTTTTTTTTGCACACGGCGGCAGAAACCTAAAGCGAAAAGGTTTTATTAAACCCAGCTGAAGGCCTAGGACAGGGGCGACAGCGTGTGTGCCCACAGAGAGGGCTCTGAGTGCCGCCTCTGGCACCCGTGCCATAGGTTCGCCACCACTGCCCTATCCCAAAGCACTCCATACATGGGGAAAGGAGGTGACTGGAAATTATATCACACACATATATGATGCTAATATATTTGACCTGTGCTAGGTTGTGGTCTCCAGACCATCTCCTGTGACCTTACACTTTGTATACATTTATCAGAGCTTTCTCAGCATTAAACAATTGTACCTCCAATGTTGTACTGCTCTCTACAGCATTAGTGGAAAATTGCAGGGCAGGGCAGAACAGCCAAAAGTTTACATAGCTTTATGTTGCTTTTTTCAGTGTTAAACTGACTCTTTCATCACAGATCATTATGAAGGAAGGCTTTGTTGCTAGCACTTTGGATTGTAGAATATCAAACATTGTGCTGATCAGTGTCTCCTGGTACAACTTTGGACACGCTACCATCTCTCTTGGCTTGTTTATTAACCCAGCATAACATTTATGTGTTTCTGAAAGGGATGGCATCACTCACTGAATTCCTGGAAAGTACTTTGACTTCCAAATTTGCTGTGAGATATTGTGGATTGGTGTGTTTGGGTAAAATTGTGTTGAGTCTTATACTAAGCTTGTAGGAAAAGACCTGGAAGAATTTATTTCCATGTGATTCCCATATTACGTTGGGGGGCAAGAAGCTCTTTTAGCTTGTAAGGTTCAATTTGGATCCTTTTATTTTGCTATTTGATACAATGATGTGATGACTGCTGCATGCAGGGAAGAATGTTGTTTTCCCTGTGACCTGCACTTAAAAAATTCAATCATACACGGTCGAGTAAATGTCCTCTGTGTGAGTCTGTCCCTCTGTGTGCTTGAGTGTCTTTAATGTTTTGTCTTTCCCAAGTGCAGGTCAACCTGCTTTCATTTGCCTCTTCCGGCAGGTCCGGTCCTGAGTTTCTACTCCATCTTTTATGTTCATATTAATTGGCCTATGTCCTTGTACTGTAGCTTGAACAATCAATGGCATGTCTAATTAAAAAGAGTTTGGAAAGTTCTAGTGTGGGGGAGTCATTTTTAAAATCTGACATATGGATGCTTATTTTCTAGTCTTTCGGATATGTGTCCCTCATGAGTATTAATTTAAAACAATATGTGCTTAGCAATCTTTCAGTTTACAGGTAGAACTTGACTTAAAACCATAATTGAGCCCGGAATTAAATTGTCATAAATTGAGGCAACACATGACTGGATTCAAAGTTACAGCCATTTTTATAATGATTGTTAAACAAGCACCATGGTCATTAAGTGAATTCATTTTTTCCATTGGCACTTTGTGCCAGAAAACAGAAGTGGGCAAAAAACATTGCATATCGTGGTCACATGACTGCGGGATCCTGCAAATAGCCATAAAGGTGAGCTGGTTGCCAAGTGCCCAAAATGCAATTGCGTGTCTGTGGAGGGGTGGGTGTGGGTGGGTTATATGCAGTCATCATAACTTAGAAAATGGGTCTTAGGAGGTCCATCATAATTTCAAATGGTCGTTAAGTGATCAATCAATCAATCAATCAATCAATCATTAAGTAGAGTACTTAATGACTACTCTATATATAAATCATTTGAAGAAGGTCTCTTCTTAAAAAAATCTCCAGTGATGGAGCGTCCACAATTTCTGAAGGCAGAAGGTGATTCAGAACACACTGGAAAAATAATATATTTTTTTAGGATTGTTAAAGTGGCTGTGATTTTTACAAGATTTTCATGGCTGCTTTGAAACTTCCTGGTTTTGTGGGTTTGCACTAGGACAATCAGTGAATTGACTGAATCTGCACATGTACAGTATATGGAGACAGTTAGTAGTAGTTTCTGCTGCAGCTACGGCAGCCTTTTAAAAGACATGATTACCTCTTTTAAATGTTTTACACAGTCCTAGTATTTATAACAGGGGCAGTGAAACTGTTCTCTCCAGAAATTGTTGTATTCCAATTTCCATTATTCATCTCTGATCACTCTGCTTAATTACAAAAGATGGACAATGTTAGAAGAATTCAGCAACTATTAGAAGGGTATTAGAAATGATCAATGTGCTTAACATGTTATTTTAGTATTCCTTATAGGCTCAATACCATTTTTTTCTGAGCAGAGCTGCCATATCTAGGTGTGAATTTGATGCAGCTCTTGAAATTATTTAGTTTCTACCTTCTAATTATGAATCCTATTTTGGAGGCAAATCCTCTGATATAGATTTTGCTGAAATAGTCCTACACAGAGCATTAGAACTGGTATGCTTTAGATATATTTTGACAGATTAGGAAATAATTGTATTTTGCTTCAGTATTGTAATCTAAGAAAATAATCTAATATTTTTATCTTCATGTTGCAGGAAGTAAGAAATGTACTGGGCCTGGGGAAATAGTTTGCATGAGGAAATTGATGAATGCCTAATGTGATTATAGTGAACCCCAGCATTTGCTTATCAGTGGCCCAGTCTCTTGGTTGCTGTGAGACTATTTTCATTTACTAACATTTCTCAAGATTAGAAAAATCAAATGGTTGGGTGTGCTGGAAAGTGCTTTCTTCTGCTCATTAAACTATAGTATGGCTTAATATGGTGTCCTAGTTCACATAATGTGGTAAGACTATGGCTGGATTCTTCAAACCTATTAAGCCACTCAACTGATTTTAGTCTAATGTAGTAATGTGCAAACCCCCACTGCAAAACCCAAATTTAACACCAGAACCCATGTTTGGACCTAAAAGAAAAAATACTTTGATGGAGAGTCTGCCCTCTTATCTCATCCTGTCCAGTATTATTAAATTTAATCCTAGCATTTTAACTCCAAGACCAGCACCTTCGCTGATTTCATGGACTATTTTAATAATCAGTTATGATTTTGGCCTACAGAGAGCACAGGGTAGTGACAGGTTGCCATGTTTGAATCATGGCCTATTGAGGGAGAGTTCTGATCTAGGATTTCTCCCAATGGCCCAAATTTATTGAGAGCCATTTATATGATATGCAGCACAGACTAAGCATCCACATTTTAGTCTACTGTATGATTTGTTTATGGGTTCATTATGCAGTATGACCTCTCCTCCATTCACTGTAAACAAGCATATTGTGTAAAGTATGAATAAAAATTGGGGGGATGGGTATTCTTGGTCATGTAAGCCATATTTATAGTCTCACATGTTCAGGCCAAAGTTTTACCCTCACCCCCATCCTCAGACTGCTGAGAACGAGAGCTACGTATAGTGTAAAGGAATTTGTGGTGCCTTATGGTACAACAATTATTTCCTGATCCAAATAGAAGAAATGTGAAATCATACCAAGACACTTCAGTTCTATTACGAAGACACTGGATGAATCTGTGAGATCACCAAGAATTGAAATCGGCTTGAAGGAAACGTTACCTCTTAAAAGCTCCTTATGGCTTATGAAAGAGCTAGAGGCTCATTTTTGAAATCATATCTCTGGAAAAAGCTCATAGCATCCCAGCAGAATACCATGTATGTGATAATTTAAATGCCATCCCTGAAGCACAACTGCTCTCAAATATTTTGCTGTCTGAAGGACAGTATGGTTCATGCATGTGCAGACACATGAACGCATGTTCAGGAGCAGATCAGGTAGGTCAGTGAATTTTCTTCCCAACCAATAGTGGTCCAAGACATCTCAGAGGAGCAATATTCATTGGGGAAGGTAGCATAAGCTATGTGGCTCAAATTCTTCCATTAGTAGTTGCTGATCCCCACTTCCCTGCAACGTGGGTTGCTGTGATCACTTCTGTCTCAGTGAGGATATGGCCAATACTGTATATGTATAGAATTACTATAATGATGGTGTCCCCAAGGAATGAAAAACATACATGTTCACATGATACACATTCCAATGTGTGACAGTTTATTTAAAGAAATTCTTAAGCCCAAAAACAAATCTCACAGAGCCTGTACACTACTTTCAATAAATATTTGCAACCATAAAGATTTTGTTGTCCTGAAAAATAAAATTAGAAAAGAGAACTTCAAAACACCACAAAGATCATTTTCTCTTTTACATCTACATCTTTTTTGTTATCTTTTAAGAGTGTAAACAGCTGGATCTGACCATCATCACCATCCCAAGGTGATTCAGCAGAAGTTACTGGGCCAACAAGAGACTTTAAGAGGGGAGTGTCCCTTTTGATTGTCTAGCATAATTAATTACCAAATGACCATCAAGTGTTTCCAGGATCAGGGCTTATAAATTACTAACAAGATTTGTTGGGGAGGGAAAATCTTTCTAAGGGAACAGGTTGAAATATAAAAATACAACCTATCTCTGCCTCTGCCCATTGTCCATAAAGCTAATTATTTAGATAGGGTTTTATAAATGATCAGGTGGGCCAACCCACTGGGACATTTTTCAGTATTTAAAAGGATTCAGTGGAGGGGGGGACACCATGCGTAGGATAATAGCCTGAGGGTTGACAACTTCTTTGCCTTTGGCTTTGGAAAATATTCTAAATTGGAGGATATGCTTGTTGCATTTGCCTGAAAATTATGGCAAATGCTACAGAATCCAACCAAAAAAGTTTGATATGGTAATTCTTCTGATTTTGCATACAACAAGAGGTAATTTTTTTTTCTCCCTTTGCCTGCACCACCAATTTTCAGAAGAGAGGAGTAGGGAGACTCCTTGGGAAATCTATTCCTGAATGCTGATTACATCTGGCCTTTGCTCTTCTCTGTGGTTGAAATCTGGACTGGGACATAAGATAGCAAGCAAAAATGGCAGCAAACATTTGCAATGAAGAAGACCTACAAACAACCTGTTCAATCTTTTAGAATTCAGGTATTAGAAAGGGATTCATGGTGCATAACATTTTATCAGCAATACTTTGCTTCCTAGGACAGCAGTCTCCAACCTTTCTGGCTCGGTGGCCCGGCGCAGGTGGGATGTTTCCATGTGAGTGGCAGACGCCCGTGCACGCACAGGTCCATTTGTGTGAGTGGCAGATACATAACACCCACTGCTTGCGCAAATGGAGCTTCAAAAGGGAGTGCAAGAGCCTGCTGCTTGTGTGAGTGGAGCTGCATAACCTGCACACTTGCCTGCCTCTTGAGCAGCCTGGTTCAGAATGGGCCACCATCCAGGCGTTGGGGATTCCTGTGCTAGGAAATTTAGAATGGAGTCATAGTATAGAATCTTCTTGTGTGACTAAGTTTTAAACCATCCCAGAGTCCCAAAGAACTTCAGCATTGTCCATATGGCCCAAGTATGCATAGCAGAGAATACATATTTGCATACCTGTGTATGTTTTGTCCTAAAGCTGAGTTATGAATCCCCAGAACTGCTAAATTTCTGATTCCTTTACATTTCTTTACATGAGGCGATACACCGGATTACTAAATCGGATTACTAAGTGGAATAAACTTGTGCACAAAGACCCATCTCTCAGGTTCAGCTAATCTTGATGATTTAGGATTGGTTGATTTGTTTTGCCACAGAACAAGTTTTGTTATTTCCAGTTCATAATTAGAGACATAGTGTTCTATGATAACAATGAAATTATTACTGTAACCTATGGTTTTTGCATATGTAGACTGTAACTGCAATCTTATCTTGGCTAGGTCATTATTGAACTTAACTTTAGAGATGAAATTATTTATCTTAAGACTTCTCAGAGGGAATCAGATCTTTTGAAAGCTTTTTCTGTTTGAAAGGAGGTACAGCTAAAATCTAGTTAAAAGAATTTTTTTAAAAAATATCAAAGGGATAGCAAGGGCATATAAATTGGCAAACAACAACAACAATCTTTGTATATAGCAGATTGACCAACAGCTGTACTGGTGGAAGCTTTTCCCACTGTTTTAAGATATATTGCATTTATTTGTATCGATTCCCAAATTTGCATGTATATATGTCTATATGAGTTTGTGTATCTATACCAGGGGTAGTCAACCTTGGCTCTTTTATGACTCGTGGACTTCAACTCCCAGAATTCCTGAGCCAGCTAAGCTGGCTCAGGAATTCTGGAAACTGAAGTCCACGAGTCATAAAAGAGCCAAGGTTGACTACCCCTGATCTATACCATCCTAGGTTTTTTGGGGGGGGGATACATTTCCTCTTTTCTTATACTGCATAAGTGGCTGACTTCTTTAATTCAAGCACTCATCCAAGTGAACCCAAAGCAATGAGAACACAGCACATCTGTATGTGATCAGATGTATATGCTGAGCTCTGTTTAAAAGACACTTGAGGTTATCAATCCCTGGGTGGGTTGGACCAACAGAACCTTGATTTTGAAACCAAGCATGCAGAATTGAAATAAAATGTAGGAATAGTACATTTTTGTTTTGTACCAAAAACATTTTTCCAAGTTCCAAATTGCTTGCCATAATTTTAATTCAGTCTTACTATCCACAATAATCCCAATGACATGTTAATGGATTGTGGGGATTTTAAAAAGGATAGATAGGTAGAGACTGGAGTGTAATTACATTGTCCTAAATTTAGTTACGATAAAGACATTGATATGTTACTAGCTGTGCAAGAACAGAAGAGGTCCGTTTGTACTCATTCAAAGGCACAAAATGCATATCCCCTTTAAAGCAAAGTGCTGCAGAGAGATTGCATCCTCAGACAGATGCATAGCTGAGTTGTATTCACGGTTTCCAATTCAGCAGGTGATACTTACATTGAAGCCTACTTTGCTGCGCCAATCTCTAATAGATCAGAACAACTGAAACCAGCAAGCTGATACTATGGCATGCACTTTAGAATTAAGAAGTATTTGTGCACATGTGTGAGTTTATCAGATCTCTCCATGTCAAATTTCACATCTTAATATTTGCTAAACATTTCAATGCATTTAAGAAGATAAAATTGTTTCTCATTGCTCAACAATATGCAGAAATGGCAGAGCTTGGAAGCAAAATTGAAAATAGCTACAGTATGTGAAGAGAACCTGCAGATGTGTTGCGTTGATGCATTTCTACTGGAGTGTGTCTGTCCTTGTCATTTGCCACACACAAGCAAAAGCTCTTATACATGAATATAAGGGAATCCAAGAGCCAAGATCTGGGCTCACCATGAAAGCTTGCATCACTTAGATCCACAAATGTCGCAATGAATGCATGTTTAACATCAGAAGACTACCACCTGGAAACTGTAGAATAAAGAAGTGTGATTACAAAGAACCTCAATCTATGACTTAGCGATACTTTTGGCAGTGCCCATGGAGGAGTGGACTATTCCCCACAAAGAGATGCATCTTACAGGGAATCTCTGATACAAAGTTACCTCTGCAGAAACCCCCCTCCCCATCCTTTGCTATTCCACCTCTCTGACTTCCCTTAGTTGCCATAGAACCCATAATAACCACTGTCCCCACCACTTTCTTTGTCATAGAGCTCCCCATTGCGGAGAGGTGGGGAGCTTTCGGCACTTGAGACATATGGAGACACTCTGCGACGCTTACACTCAGCTTCGTATAAGCCAGAGTCTGACGAATCTGCAGACTTCACTGAGCCTGGTTCAGCCCAGCCCTCATTGTCCTTCCCTTTCTCCTCTCCAGCAGGCAAGGCCTGCAAATCCCGCATGGGCCGGAACCAGCTCAGGGGCCCTGGATTGGGCTTGGGATGGTGGTACTGAGGTGGCGAACTCCATGCAGGAGGCGGACCAAATGGGTGGTCCTGATAATAGGGCAAGGAGGAGTGGGAGGCCGGCTGGAGAGCAAATGGCTTTACCCCATAGGGCAAAAATTTGTTCCCTCGGAAGTCTCCCTCATAGGCACCATATTCCAGGGGAGCAGGGGGAGGCTGTTGTGAAGCAAAATACCAGTGGGGAGGATCCTTGGGTGGCAGAGGGAGTGGGACACATTCTCGATTGAAGAAGCGGCTCTGGGGCAGTGGAAACTGGTCATGCAAGAAAGGCTGGAACCGGCTGCCTGACAGGAGCTGTTGGCAGCTGGCCACACTGGGTGGAGATGGGGTTGTGCGATCTCCCTCGGTTGTGGTATACATCCTGGCAAAGGGTGGAGAGTGGAGAGAGAAAAACAACAAGTGGGTGTGAGACAAGGAATCTGCACCAGATAGTTAGGAAAGACAATCAAAGGAGCTCATTCTTGGGCACTAGATTGGATTGCAAGCCTATTTCAAAGTACCTGATTGTCCTGCTCTAGGATAGACAGTTGGCTATCCTCCACATACAGCTCACACATATTCCAGATAGCATAATTAATAAACAAGGATTATGGATGCTATATCTTTGGATCTCTGGAGAATACCATATTATCCACTGCAATTTTTGCTTGTTAACTCCCCACTGCAACCCATGTAATATACTAATTACTGGGCAATTAAGAAACCATATCAAACTACAGTTTGGCATAATTCTTTAACCATTTCTATGCAATGATTAAATTGATAACACACCTAGAGGAGGCAGAGGGTGTTACGTTAAAATAGAATAAAAGGGGTCATGAAATGCTAATGAATACATTAAGAAATTGGAAGAAAATGCAATAGACTTACGTATCAAAATTGTCGCGGAAGCCTTTAGCAAAAGGGTTATGATCTATTTTCAGCTGAGTGATCTAGAAAAAAATCAAGGAAACTGAGAAAATAGTAGCTATAAATTTTATTTATAGTATAGTGTAGTGAAGTGAAGTGTAGTATAGTATAGTATAGTATAAGTATTAGTATTAGTATTAGTATTAGTATTAGTATTAGTATAGTATAGTATAGTATAGTATAGTATAGTATAGTATAGTATAGTATAGTATTTATAGCATATATAGTATTTATACCATAATACCAAAAAGGAATGAGTTTAGCTATCTCATCTGATCTTATCCAATACAACAACAACAACAACAACAATAATAATAATAGCGTTAATCTTCAATTTGATTCACAGTTTGGGGCTGGTAAAAACTTAACAATTCAAGTCCTAACCAAGGACCTAGGAGCTGTTAAGGTAATGTCTGAGCATATAGGCAGTTCTGAGCAAGGTGGTTTTTTGCAAAGTCAAATATTCAGGTCGGATAAGTTCAAAATTTCCATATGTCTAGGCAGCCCTTTGGGTATTGCTCCAAGGGCTCCTATTACTATTGGTACAACCATTGATTTCTTCCTCCACAATCGCTCAACTTCAATTTGCATATCATAATATCTCATTATTTTTTCTAGTTGTTGATTATTGTTGTTGTTATTGTTGTTGTTCATCACATGTTTAGACTGGATTTGGCATTTGTATTCATTTATCAAATCCTGGGTTTACTACTACTACAACTAGTACTACTATACTACAGTTACTATTATTTTGGATTTCATGTTGTATGTGGGGTGGTGCAGTGGCTCAGTGATTAAGGAACTGTGCTTGGAAAGCTGACAGCTCAGGTTCAAGACGTGAGAGCCATGTGACGGGTTGAGTTCCCGTCACTGCCCCAGCTCCTGCCAACCTAGCATGCAAATGTGAGTAGATAAATAGGTACCATTTAGGTGGGATGGATAACTGCATTCTGTGACTTCATGCTGGCCATCTGATTATGGAAATGTCTTTGGACAGTGCTTGCTCAATGGCCTAAAAACAGAGGTGAGCACTGCCCCCTATAAGTGGCAACATCTAGTGGTCTAAAATCCGCAGAGACTCCTTTTTACCAAGTTGTATGTATTATACCAAAATCTACTACATAATGATGGGGACAATGGTGTTAAGAATAAATAACTATTGTATGCTATGACATAATGGGTTTTTGATCCTTGTGTTACTTCACAGAACTTCAAGTCATTCTTTGCCTGCAAACACTGTTGTCTTTTTCTTTTCTAAATTAGCTGATGTGTTCTTGCCAAGAGGATATTTATTAACAGGGTGATTGTTAAAGAATAACTTTCCCTAACTGAACTACTTTAATTATTAAGTTCCTCCAGCCAGTCAGTGATGTGGTGGTTAGGTTAGACTAAGACTAAGACTAGGGAGATCCAGATTCAAATCTTAGCTAAGTCATGGCACTCAATACAATAATCCTCATTTAGTGACTGACTCATTTAGCAATTGTTTGCAGTTATGATAGTGATGAAAAAAAGTAAGCTTGCAACATATCCTCCCTTTTACGGCCTTTAAAGGTCTGTAAAGCAAAGGAAAGCTTTAGTAAGGTTATAAGCCCAATCACAATTTCACTTAGCAACCACTTTGCTTAACAACCAGTTTGCTGGTCCCAATTCTGTTGCTAAATGAGGGCTAGCTATAGATAATTTGAGCCCATTACCACGTATAGCCCTAAAGTCCCTCACAGGAATACCATGAGGATAAAATGGGAGTGGGAAGCCAGGAGTGTATGAAGTTTTATAGGAATGGTGGGATAGAAATACTACAAACAGGCAAATAAATATTTTCCAACTTTGCCACCCCCTTCTTACCCTTCTGCCATACAAAGAGTGAAAGGGTGCGATTCTCCTTCTCATGTAAACTTACATCAGCATTTTGGTATGCAGTAACCGCGATGAACTGAGTCTCTGGAAAAGTAAAGGTCTGGGTGCAGATTGAGGGATGCACCTCATCCACTTCGCCCTGCTTGGCCTCAGTAACATGCAGGCGAGGCTGATACTTGTGTAAGGACTGCAGTACAATCATCTGCCAAATACACGGGACACGATTCATTCATACATGATCTGTGAGTTGCAGCTGAACATATTCCACCCCAATAACAATCCTGGATTTTTTAACAGCAATGCTGACGTGATGGATAAAAGCCAGATTCAAGAACTCGTTACCTGGGTGATATTGTTTGATGCTCCTTTATTGTTGGTGAGTTTCAGTTTCCCAAAGGATATTTCCTGTCGCATCCAATGTGCTCCAGTGTTGGGAGAATCTGGATGCATGTATGTCCGATTCCCTGCCAAAAGGATGGCATTTCCAGTAAATATCTTGCAGTTTAAGCATGGAGAAAGCACATACTAAACTATTAAGTAAATAAACTCACTTGAAGCCAATTCAGACCAACTATTCTTGCTATGTTTTGCTCGGTGTGTTCCTGAAATGACAGTTCCCAATTTCTTAGCAGGAAGTATGACAAATATGTAAAGTGGATGCTTGCTTTGACAGGGGTAGGGTGAGAAGAAGAGGCACATATAGATTACGGGATCTTATCTAGGACTATGACCCTGCCTATAAACAGGATAACCCGTAGTGTGAAATCTCATAAATATGCCATTTTGTTTACATTTTTAGACAGGTTCTTGGGCCAAGGGGATTCTAATAAACAGCAGATTTCCTTAAACTCATCTCAGCTTGCAACATAGATTATAATTTTTAAAGTAAAGCATTATGTTTTGAAATCAAGATATATTAAAGCTCTAATACCTACTGTATTGGTTCCTAAATGTGCACATCTATGTCCAGGGTGTCCCAAAGTGGTCAATATTGATCCCCAAGGTTGATGGGACTATCCCAAGGATTGATAAATGGCTGGTGGGCAATAGGAACAGTCCAAACCCGGAAGAACATCATGATTTATGACTAAAGTTCGCCAATTTCTAACTATATATCAGTGCTCTTCTTGATGCTCATCAGATGCAACTTTCCCATTAATGATATCAATATTAAAATGTTTTTCATATTTTAATGAAATTATTATTGTTGTTATTAGCTTTTATTTGTAGTACAGGTAGTCCTTGACTTATGATCACAATTGGGGCCAGAACTTGCTAAGCAAAGCGGTTGCTAAGTGACTTGTGCCTGATTTTATAATGTTTTTTGCTATGGTTGTTAAGTGAATCACTGCATGAAGTGAATAACAAGGTGGTTAAGTGAGTCTGGCTTCCCACATTGACTTCACTTGTTGGAAGTGACTGAGAAAGTTGCAAATGGTGATCCCATAACCCCAGGATGCTGTAATTGTTGTAAATACAAGCTGGTTGCCAAGCATCCAAATTTTGATAATGTGATCGTGGGGATGTTGCAATGGTTGTAAATGTTATGTACTGTTTCATACTGGTCACAAGTCACTTTTTTTCAGTGAAGTTGTAATTTTGAACAGTTACTAAATGAATGATTGTATGTCAAGGACTATTTGTATTATTACTTAAAGTATTATTTAACAAATTATTTTTATATAGTAGACATTTAGGGGTCAGAAATTCTTTATCTCTAAATCTCAAATCCACTGAACAATTAAACCATGTGGCCTTGTTGATTTGCTCTAAAAACTAAATGTTTAGAACATGGATAGTAGTTTATAGTAATGGAAACACACTTTGTACATGCTCAAAAACAACTTTATTATTTCATATCATAAATTTTGTATTGTCTGTAGGAATAGAAATAGTCTGCATGAATAGGAAGAGGAAGAAGTATTAGGTATGTTTGCCACCTTGAATTGTTTATAAGGATAATAAAGGTGGGATAAAAAAAACTTAAACAAAAAAATTTTTTTGCACTAATATTTTGCTAACAGGTTTTTAATGATTACAGTGCCATTTCTCATCTCTGGCAGCAGATGGAGCAATGGTTCTTGAAACTGGGGTAATATTTGAAAACACAGCTGGGATGGTGGAATGGCAACAATGAAAGGATTTTTTTTTCACTTTCTGATTTGAATCATATATTTAAACATTCATTGTGTGTGACAATTTTATTCACAAATTATCTGCTAATAATTTTATGATATTTTGAATAGTATTAATAGGACAGTTTTAAAAAAGAATCACCTAAACAAATAGGAATTCCAGTTAGAAAATAAAGCCTCTTTTTTCCACCTCAGCATTCCAGATAAGTTCTAAGCAGCAGGAAAATGGAATGCTTCCATAGAGATCTCCTGAAAAATTGTAGCTTCTGTCTGTCATTGAGGAGATGGAAAATGGGGTCCACTGATTGGGCAGGTATTATGAGATGAAAGAAACATTTTAAATATTTAAGTTGCAGAGTCACTGAGAGTGAGTTAGATGGCCCTACACATTTTCTTTAAAATATTTTTCCAGATTGAAAGTTTTCAGCATTGCCGCCCTTTTTTTATAGAAAGAGAATCCCTAATATTTTAGTTCAACCAAAATGATCGTAACTGATACTTAGCACCTGCCTTTGAGGCTTGTTTAGCCATATCAGAATGATGTTATCAATCTCTCATTGGTTGAAGATGGGAAATAACTGTTACCTTATAGGGCAGACATGTCAAACTCGTGACGTCATGTGACGTATCAGAGTTTTTTCTCCATTGCCGGCAATGGGATGGGCGCGATTTCCTGGTGACGCATCCAGCCCGCGGGCCGGCAGTTTGACACCCCTGTTATAGGGCTTCCTCTAAAATCCCAATTTCCATCTAAGATCTTAATTTCTTTAGATCCCTTTGAGGATCCTTATATTCCATTTAAAATACTATTTTCCAACTTGGATAGCACTCCTGACTGCCTATTTTGGACAATTAAATATCATTCCTTTAGAATGTAATAAGTACCATTTTTGGGGGAACTGTGGAATTATGTAACACAGGAGTCCCCAACCCCTGGACTGAGGCCCATTACTACAATGTACAAGCAGTGGACAAGCAGTGGGCAAGCATGTGTGTGTGCGCAGCTCCTCTTGTGCGAGCGATGGGTGCTTGCACTTGTTTGTGAAGCTCCATTTGCACGCGTGCCCCCGCACGCATCTGCCACTCATACAGAACCATCCCCTGTCCCCCCCCTTGCTGGACCGCCAAGCAGGAAAGGCTGGGGACCACTGGTGTAATACCTCTGTGCATTTCTGACATCATCATCAGGTTCAATGGTAGGGTACAGTAGGCCTCACTTATGACCCATTGCTTAGCACCTGTTTAAAGTTACAGCAGACTCTCAAAAGGTTCTTATGACCTGGATTCAAAGTTCCAGTGTCCTCATCCCACCACACACACATACACACCATAGCCATAGGATCACATTTTGGATGCTCAGCAACTGGCCCACACTTATGACTGTTTACATTATCCTGTGGTCATGTGACTATGATTTACAATGTTTTTTAATGGAACCCAACATTTATTTCCAAAGTCTGGCAATGACAATTTGCAGACAGTGGGTTTCATTTAACAACCACCATGTTAGCTTAATCTTCACTTAATGATTGCCACAAAAATATCATAAAAACAGGTCGGTCATGCTTAGGTGCCTCAATTTATGGCATATGACAGAAATTCCAAGCTCCATTATGGTTATAAGTCAAATGTTTTGGGAAGCTTTTATAGAAAAGCAATAGGTAAACATTCTAAATCTATGAATTCCTACATACAAATAGAAGATTCATGACTGAATTGAACCAGAAATGAATCCTGATACTGTATGTCAAGAAATAATAAATGTAAGAAATAGGGCTGTGTGGTGTTGAAAGAAAAGGGTATTTGGGAGCATGCATGATCATCTCCATAATAACTGCATGTTCCTGGGAAAAGATCTGACTCCATTAAGAGTAGCCATTGGGGCATTCATGAGTACCTCCTGGTGCTACAAAGCAACTTCTTCCCTTCAAATCTGAAATGCTGCATGCCCATAGTAAGAAAGCCTTCAGATTCATGCAGAATGCATCTCTTTTATTATTTTATTATCTTGGATTGAATATGTTATCTAGAAGTTTAAACTATCATGGACCTTCTCCTCATTCATGCTGCTACAGATGCCTGAGGATGAGTCCAATAGTGGTAGAGACCCGAAGCACACATTTCTTATTGCTGATTTTTTAAAATTCATTTTATAATATGGGGCCAAAGTAGATTTGAAATCATTCACATTTAATTTAGGGTGGTAATTGCCTCTTTAAAAAAAAGAAAACAAAACAGTAGTCCATGCACACAAATCTAAAAGAAGATTTGTTTAAATGTTTGCTGTACTAGAATCCTGATTGGAATTTGAAAAGAGAAGAGACAATGAAAAAAGAGAGGATTTCTCTATTTATACCTGGCATATTTCCCTCGGCCTTGCCGCATTGAACCCATTTCCCGCCTTGGTATCGCCAGTGGTGCTGATCCACTAACACAACATCCACATAGATACTGTAATGAGCCACAGGATCCAGCCCGGAGATGTTGAAACTCAGAAATGGAAACATCCTCCTAATTGGTGAGGTAGAAAGAAGGATCGGGGAAGAGAGAAAAGAAAGGTAGGCTATCATATTACATATTTGCCACAAACTCAGTTTGTTCTCTGCTTGTATGCTGAGACATGTCAAGTAAAGCACAATTTTTAAGAAAATGTTATGACAACCATTCACCCTTCTGTTTTCTACTTATTATTAGAAAGTAATTGCAAGGTGACACTATCCTTGCTTGTCCCTATTGCCATTTGAAATCTTAATTGTGCAAAATAACTCATGTAATATGCATTGCCACCAAATTCTTACTTTCCAACTATATAGCCCACATGTAGTCTACATATTGACTACATATTACACATACACACATGTATATATAAAATGTTGCATAACTTTGCATTTTAGAGTTTCTTATTACTTAATATCTGTATTTGTCCTGATTTTTGTTTTTGTGTCTATGTTGGAAAAAGCTGACCTCATTGCAGAACACATATTAATTTATTAATACTCATTCAGATATACTCCAATATACTGAAAAAACACAAGAAAATCAGTATGACATAGTGGTTAAGGAATCTGACCAGGAGTGGGAAGACCCAGCTTTTAGTCCTCCCTGGAGCATGGAAACTAGATGGGTGATCTTGGACAATCACTTCCTTTCATCCTAATCAACATTAGATTCTGTCACAAATATCTTGTCTCATCATTCAACAACAGAAATGTTTATGGCTCAGTGCTTAAATATAAAATTAATCTTTCATTGATTAGTTAGGACAGTAAAGACAAGTCTTTTGAGTTTGGCATATCAAAAATTAAGAAAATATCTAACTTGACTCTGCTGGCATGTCACCCACCCCCACCTACTCTCCCTCCCAAACAAAAGAGGCACAATTGTCTATCTCCTTCCACATTTAAACCACCTTGAACAGCAATAGTAGCAATGTTGATAGTAGGCCTGAAGTAGAGCCCTGGGCCTCAAACTTCAGCCCCAGCACTACTACTGGCCCTCAGAAATGCTACTCTGTGTCACTGTCCAAGATGTGACAGGCCCCATGGTCTATCAAAGGCTGCTCTGGGTTGCACAAGGCCTTCATTCTTGAAAAAGCTTTGGAAAATGCTCTTCTTCAGCCTCTACACGCTCTGCAAACCACCCAAAAATATGCGCCATTCTCATGTGATTTTTGAAAACTCTGGAGGCCATGCAGGAATATACCCATTCTTGCACAGCCTCCAAAAATTATTTGAGAACAGGATGTATTTTCAAGAATACTGTAGTTGTTGTCAGGTATTGTTGAATGCTGATGAGCCTTCCGAAACATTGTGGCATGTCACTTTTGACACATCAAAAGTGGGAGTATTTCTTCCAAAGAAAGAAAGGAAGAGGAAAGAGATGAATTTTCATCGTGTATCAAAATAATCGTTTGCTTCCCATCTGTTCTTGCTGGTGTGGCTGAATGTGCAATACATCCTCCAGCTTCTTCAATGGCTGCATTTAGCCCTAAGAAGGTTATTTACTTCCCAATGGACAATTTCCAGCCATTCACAATTGGTTCACCTAATTCCAACAGGGCAGCTCAAACAGAATAGAACAAGTTCTGTATTTTCTTTCCTGAAGAACTGTTGAATTGACTGCAACAGATGTAAGAACAGCTCTGTTTCTTTTTTACCCCCTCTGACCTTAAGCAAATTCTTTACCTTACCATTTCCCTCTTGCTCCTCCCTCTCTCCCTCCCTCTTTCGTTCCCCTTCTGCCACATTTCCGGTTCAGAAATAGACACTGCTATTTTCAGAGAAAGTGAGAAGAGAAGAAAGAGAGAGAGAAAACCCCTCAAAACAGATGGACAAAACGTCAGATAGCATGAGAAGTTTATTCCCAGGGCAAATTGTTTGATACTTGAGAATGGAGAATCCAAATCACAAATATACACACAAAGAATAATCTGGGGCTTGCTTACAAAGGGGTTTTTCTACATAATTGAAACAAACAACTCCTGTCTGAACAGTTCCATTAATTTGAATGAGACTTATGCAAAATAATTTCTCATTGGATCATTGTATAGCACAGGGGTAGGCAACCTTGGCTCTTTTATGACTTGTGGACTTCAATACTCAGAATTCCTGAACCAACCATGCTGACTCAGGAATTCTGGGAGTTGAAGTCCACAAGTCATAAAAGAGCCAAGGTTACCTACCCCTGGTATAGCAAGTATCAAATTTAGCCATCAACCTTTTAAAACACATTGTGCAATATCAGTCCTAATAAAATGGATTATGATTGTGCCAAGCCAGATACAATTTGGCAGCTGCAGCAGTGTGCTGCAGCTGCCAAAAAGGCCAACACAGTGCTAGGCTGCATTAACAGAGGGATAGAATCAAGATCATGTGAAGTGTTAATATCACTTTACAATGCCTTGGTAAGGCCACACGGAATACTGCATCCAGTTTTGGTCACCGCGATGTAAAAAAGATGTTGAGACTCTAGAAAGAGTACAGAGAAGAGCAACAAAGATGATTAGGGGACTGGAGGGTAAAGCATATAAGGAACGGCTGCTGGAATTGGGTATGTCTAGTTTAATGAAGAGAAGGAAGAGGGGAGACATGATAGCAGTGTTCCAATATCTCAGGNAGAGGGAGTCAAGCTATTTTCCAAAGCGCCTGAAGGCAGGACAAGAAGCAACGGATGGAAACTAATCAAGGAGAGAAGCAACCTAGAACTAAGGAGAAACTTCCTGACAGTGAGAACAATTAACCAGTGGAACAACCTGCCTCCAGAAGCGGTGAATGCTCCAACACTGGAAGTTTTTAAGAAGAGACTGGACAGCCATCTGTCCGAAATGGTATAGGGTTTCCTGCCTGAACAGGGGGTTGGACTAGATGACCTTCATGGTTCCTTCCAACTTTACTATTATTATTATTAATAATAATAATAATATTTTCCATTATCTCCACACATATGCTGATATAACTGAGGGATGAGGAGAAAGTTAAAGAAAAAAAATCAGAATATAAACTCACAGCTTTACATTCAAAATGTGTCACAATCAGATTTTTTTACTCTGATTGTGCAGAAAGGACTATAAGCAACCTCACAGGAGACATGCTTGTTATAGTTCTAGAAGGAATGTTGGTAAAGAGTTGGGATTGGACAAAATAGAACCAATATTTATTCTAAATTTACAGCACATAGTTTCTTTTGAAATTATAGAAGTTTAAAACGGATTTAGTTTTGTTCCATTAATTTCTCCACAATGCAAGTCTATACATATTTTTTAGAAGTAGGCTCAATAGATTTTAATACTAAGTAAGTGTATATATATAGGATTGAACCAACCCATTATGATTCATTATCTTTTTTCTTTTAATCTATTGAACTACAGGAACATCTTGAATAGGGTAAAGAGGAGGCTGAGAAGTAAAGTGAATATAACAAATACTATTTTCTGTTCATTATTTTTTAAGGACTTGATGATTAAGTCACAGATAGAAGGAAGTTTCTCTTTCTCAACATGGCAAATCATGTAAAATGTAGATACATGCATTATACTAAAATATAATAACATCCCCTCAAATATGACTAACATATATATTGTCAGAAAACTCTTACATTCCTGAGTTGTCAAATATTTGAAAACTCAGAGATGCACATGTGACTCAGCAATTCAAGCTAATCAGAAACACCATTATCTTGAAGAAGCCCAAATCAGAACAAAAGATCTTGTGAAGTATATGTACATTTAACATAGATCTCTCACTAGCACAAAGCATTACATAAGGAAAAAGGCATGATTAGAAAATTAATAAACATCCTTTAGATTCCCACAAATAATATCATTCTAGAAGCATTGAAGTTAAAAGTGAATTATTCATCTTTCTGATAGAATTAAATATGTCAGAGTTAATACCTCTCTGGATGTCAATTTATATAGGGCACAAGTTCAGTTTAGTTTAATTTATGGCCAATGACTATGTAAGATAAATAACCTAAAACTGTAGTATAAAACAGGGGTCCCCAACCCCTGGTCCATGGTCAGTATTGGGCCACAGCATGCCAGCAACCGGTCCGCACAAACAAACAAAACCCCATACGCAAGATGCAGGCAGCACACAAAACCACACACCCTCCGGTCCTCAGAGAAACCTCTCTCCACGGAACCGGTCCCTGGTGCCGAAAATGTTGAGGACCTCTGGTATAAAAGATAAATTTAAAATGTGGTTCATAGCATCAGTGATACACCATTAATAATGGCAGAAAGAAGTCATTGTCTGGCTGTCAATCTCAATGCTGCCTCCATTTTTTCAGGGATGTCTAGTTCACTATGAATCCTTGCTAAAAGTTAATGGTGATCTAACAAACCCAGTGAGATACAAAAAGGAACAATATGGATACTCAATGTCTCCTCTCTTGTTTATTTTATTCTTGAAATACTAACTAGAGCAGGGGTCTCAAACTGCTGGACACGTCACACAGAAGCCGTGCCCACCCCATTGCTGGCAATGGCAAAACCAGGACTTTTTTTGTCATAGAATGCCCAGAACAGAGTTCCGGCACCTTTTTTGGATGGAACCTTGTAGGGTAGACAAGGCGGGTTATATGACATGTGTGAGTTCCGGCACTTTTTTTTTTTTTACAAAAAAAAAAACATTGGGCAAAACAGTCCCGATATGTTGCACGATGTCATGTGACGTCGCGAATTTGACATGTCTGGACTAGAGATATAAAATGAGATGATTGTGGGAATAAAGATTAAAAAAGAAACTTATGTTAAGGGCTTTTGTAAGTAACTTGATATTGATTTTGGAAGATCATTTAAAAGGACATTAAGGGACAAATTAAAATAATTTAGTACATTAACAGGGTTCAAAATTAACAAATAATATGAAGATAGACAATCAAATAGAATTGAATATGCTGGATTTTAAGATTCAGAAGAAGATAAATGATCTGACATTACTATGACTATATGTTATTTCTATGTTATGAATTACATGTTATTTCAAAATAACCATGTTAATACATAGAAT